CACTGCAACTTCCACCTCCCAGGTTCAAGTGATTCTTCTGCCTCAGCCTCCCAAGTAGCTGGGATTACAAGCACCCACCACCATGCCTGGCTAACTTTTGTACTTTTAGTTGAGATTGTGTTTCACCATGTTGGCCAGGCTGGTCTTGAACTTTAGTATACTTTTGTATAATAAACATACTCTCGCCAAATCCCAAAAACAAGAGACTAAATGCAACCTTGTCAGAGCACAGAGATCATATTTTAATCATGAGTATCCCAACAGCTACCCCTCAATTGATGTTATTTTCCAAAAACCTTAAATCCCTCCTACTAAACTAAAACGCCATTTTGTATGCTAAACACAGGTGATCCGCCTGCCTCGGCATCCCAAAGTGCTGGGATTCAGGCGTGAGCCACCGCACCCCACCTAAAATGTCTCTTCTTACCCAGCTCCACCTCCAAGCACACACACCTCTCACACATCCGTGATTTTGTTATCTAGTACAAAGCAAACCAAAAAGCAGAACATCTAGCACTAACAAATGTTTGGATGATACACTGTTAGAGAAGCTCCCACCAACACCAGATAGGCTTAGGGGATCATTTCACTCTTTAGGATCTCCCCTACCGAAGCCTGCAAAAAATTTCTAAGCTTATCTGGTGATGGTGGGAGCTGAGTTCAATCCCACTAGACCACAGAGTCCCAGACTGTAGTCCCAGGTTCAACCTCTGGTTCATGTCAGACCTAGCAAGAGTTTGGGACCACCTTAACTTTTCAACTTGCCAGGAATAGAAACTTTGATGGCCTTTCCCACTGTTTATTTATGTGGGTCAGGTCACTTAACCTGGGTAGCCTCCCATTTCCTCACATCCACAGGGGTGTGCAGTTTCTAGACTAGAGAACGTGTTTAAATTGCATGTGACCCTTGAAAAAAATGCTCTGAAAGTAAAGAAGATCCTCTTTTTGAAGAGGCAGTCTCACACCAAAACAAAGCAATCCATATAAGACCCTTTACTTTTGCCTCAGGAATTTCCTCTCTCTCTGTCTCTCTCTCTCTTTTGAGATGGAGTCTTGCTCTGTCTCCCAGGCTAGAGTGCAGTGGAGCGACCTTGGCTCACTGCAACCTCCACCACCCGGGTTCAAGCGATTCTCCTGCCTCAGCCTCCCAAATAGCTGGGATTACAGGCACTACCATGCCCAGCTAATTTTTGTATTTTTTTTTTCTTTTTGTAGAAACAAGGTTTCGCCATGTTGCCCAGGCCAGTCTCAAACTCGTGAGCTCAAGCAATCCACCCACATCCCAAAGTTTTGGAATTACACTGTGACCAGCCACCTCAGAAATTCTCTAAATGGAGAATTAATGGTGGGAATGTTACCCCTGATAGCACAGAGGTCTCCACATCCAAATTTGTCCAAGGTTTATTGCTGGGGTCCCTGGACATAATCCAAAGGGTTTACAGCCTAGTTGGATGGGGGAGGAATCACTATTTTGAGTAACCCCTCTCTGAAATTTAGCAGTTTTATATTTTAAATATAATAACATCACTTCTCAGCCTTTTGGCTAAGATCAAGTGTAGTATCAGTTCTTATCAGTTTAAATATAGTAACAAACTACAGTAGGATTATTGGTACCTGTGGCTTAGTCTCCAATAGAAATCAAGATAATTTCATATAACATTATAGTTACCCCAGATATCTCAAAATATTTGCCCTGATCACTATTGAAAAATTATGGAAGTTACTTCACTTGCCATTAGATCTTTTTGTATAGTGTTTAATAATAAGAACATATGAAAATCTATCATAGATTTAAAAAAATAGTTTAATAACTGTATTAAGAACTACCAGTGTGACAGGTAGTTCTTGCTAGGTCCTTTTCATCGGGTTACCATTTGATGTTTCTGGCTTTGAGCTGTTTCACTCACCCCTGAGTTGCAGGGACTGAGCATAAACAAGCTCCACTGTTAGAAAGAACAATGGTTGACTAAGCATGGAGAAAGTATACCCAGATGCATTTTTAGCCCAATGTATTTTCTTTTCATAACCCAATTTATTTTCTTTTACTGTTTTATCTAAAGGCAGTATTCTGAGCAAGATGCATAAACCTCACTAGTCCACCAAGGGAATCCATGTCCGATAAAGATTAAGAACCTCAGCTCTAAGTGAGGTTAGAATGGGGTTTGCAAATGTTGCTCAGGGTCTGTGTCAATGTCACTTTATTTAAACATTCCTGAGATTCAGCCTCCAGCTCATTGAGCTCCTCCTAACCAAATATGTGAAGGAAGAAGCTGCATCTGTATAAACATCATCCAGCTAAAGTGTCAGGTTTCCTGCTCTTCTTCACAGTTGTTTGAAGCCAACAGTTAAAGACATTAAAAGGATCAAATATCCTGTGTGGCTGGGAGAAGAGAAAAGAACTTTGGAATTACAAACCAAGCATTTTGGTTTAACTCTGCTACCCTGTTTTCTTTGTTTGAATTAAGTGCAACCAATAAGTCCTCAAAAAACGAAAGAATAAGACATAAACCTGTAAGTTACTGGTTTAATTTTCTCAGTAGGGCATTAGGGCATCACCTAATAGCTGCTTAACAGCTTGATAATGAAGAGTCATGGCTTATGATCAGTGCCTAGACATGGCGTGACGAATGTATTTCACCGTGATCTGATCCAGTTACCACTGTGTTGGGAAGGACTCTGAGACCATCTCCAGGTCTAAGGAGGGGAAAGGTGCTGTGGTAGATCACTCATGTCTGCTATGGTAAAGGGATGGAGCTGTGTGCATGCCCCATAATTACTCTAAGTCCAGCCCTAACTGGTGCCAGTGGCCACCTTTACTTGAGACCCAGAGAGAAATATATTCCTGAACGTTCCTTCCATATCTCCAATCTGTGCTGAATAGAAAAGGGAACCTCAGTTCCTGTAACTATTTTGCCAACTTACTGCTTTATATTGATGAACAAGGAAGATGAAACACAGCATGACATTGTATAAAACTGTCTGGGATGCAAAAATATTGTAGCACAATTGATAAGAGAGAATTTACTTAAAAATTAATTAACAAATTGATCAAAGAAATGGGATTCCTGTGCTTCTTCCTATTTATTAGTATTACAAAGTTTGACCTCATGACTTCTGCCTGGAAACACTCAAACTCCCAAATCCAGTGCTTACTGACTCATCTTCCCTGGCTTTGTTTCTTTTGTAGGCCCTTATTGGTGGGGAGCAGGGGGAGGGGGTGTTAATGCTACCTCGAATATACAGAGGACTTTCTAAAACACTGTCTCCTGTGATGCCTCCCCGCAGACAGGAGAGGCTCTGTTGTAATCATTATTTCTATTTTGCAGATGAAGAGAATGGGGCTCCAGGAATTGACTTCCCCAGAATCCCATTGTCACTTCAGGGCTCTCAAGATGTTGCCTTCCAGAGTTCTGCTTGCTTGTATCAGGCTCTCCTAAAGAAAGGAAGTCATTAAACAAGAAAACAAACCAACATTCCATAATGGATTAAAAATATACTGTCATTCACCTATTAGCTCTTCTATGTTGGCCCAGATGGAGGTGACATTTCTGGTTTTCTTATCTTTCCTCTTGTTCTAGCAGAATTTAAGGAATCTGCTTAACCATTTTTACTTTGTTCTACTGCCAGTCCAAACAATTTTAATCAATGGATTCCCAAGCCAAGCTTCTAACTACAGCTCACCAGGCATCCTAGTTGGACTGATTTTGTTTTTGTTTTGAGAAATTATGAAATAGGCAAGTTGTCTTACATATAAGTATTGACCATTTGAGAAAAGCTGCTATTTGCCTCCAGTTAAAATATGCAAGAAAAGGAGAGGGATGGGTTTGGGGGCTTGCCTTAAACTAAACTAATCAGGATGGTAATTCCTAAGTAGTTCATGTTTCCTAGCGGTCTTGTTAAATCAGTGGGTGGGATTCCTGGCCTCAGATTTTGCCACAGCTGCTAGTCCGATTCCCTGATCTCTGTTCACCCATACCACAGCCCTGGACTCTGGCCACAAGAGTAGAAACATTCTATTGTTTCATCTAATTTTGTACCTTCATTTGTGCATCAACTATGTGCCAGTCATCCTAAAGAAACCTACAGCCAAGTTAAAGACAGACAAGCTAAAGGGCAATTTTATTTTTAAAAAGAGAACTCTACAAAGTATATGTTTGTGAACCCTGGTCTTTGGGATTCAGGGAAAATTTTCTGGAGGAAGGGACATGTAAACTAAGGCCTTAAAGAAGAGTAGGAGAAAGCAAGGGGAAGGAGTGAAAGAAGGCAGTCAAGGTAGAAGAAGACTTGTGCAAAAGGCAAGTAGGCAAAAGAATGAGTTCAAGTCTAGAGCAGAGAATGTAAGGGATGGTATAGAGGTGGGGAGAAGTGGGAAGAATATGGCTGGTAAGATAAACAAGATCCAAATCATAAATAACCTCACATGTGAACTAAGAATTTGGGACCACATCCTGACAGCAATAGGCAGTCACTTTATTATTTATTTGATCAAAATTGCATTGACTGCTCCATGGAGAATGGACTTTAGAGAAGCAATATTGCAAGCAGGGAGGCCCACTTCAATCCAGGGGAAGCTTTCTGGAAGCCTGAAATATAATGGAGAGAGTAGAGATGGAAAAGAAAAATAATTTCAGAATCACTAGGTCAGCACTCCAGTGTGACAGGTAGTTCTTGCTAGGTCCTCTTCATTGGGTTACCATTTGATGTTTCTGGCTTTGAGCTGTTTCACTTACCCCTGAGTTGCAGGGACTGAGCATAAACAAGCTCCACTGTTAGAAAGGACAATGGTTAATTAAGCACGGAGAAGG